GATCTCTGATCCGAGGGATTTTACGCTCTTAAGGCGTTTTCGTCGCATTCACAATACCCACCATCAGAGTAGTATATACGAATCCTATTTATTCACCTCTTCTGATAAGCTTTCTAAATAGAGCGGACCTTTTATTCTCTTACTCTGGTGAAAATACACACACGTTAGAAAGGCAGAAAGTCGGACTCTTCCCACGGATTTTTAAAGAGGCTCATTTCGTGAAGGCATTTCCGGCAGCAAAAATGAGGCTCCACGCACTTTGAGAGAACTCAAGGTCCTATTGAGAAATCCTATTGATTTTTGTATTTAACTCACAGTTGCTTGTGAGTAGTGTGCGTGGGGTGATCGGTATTAATTGATTCGAACTGACTATCCTTCGGACTTCACCTTCGCGCACAATCTTCAGTTCATCGATTCAACCATACAGTCGGAAGCACCAGACTCGAGTTTCGCTCTTATTAGAGCTTCCGACTGTATGGTTGAATCGATGAACTGAAGATTGTGCGTGAAGGTGAAGTCCGAAGGATAGGCAGTTCAAATCAATCAAATCCTATTGAAGTCAAAAGAAAACAGATGTGAATGTGACTGCCATATTCGATAATAGTTCGTTATTTGGTCAATGACAATGCTCTTAGGGGCACCACGAATTCTACTCGCAGACCACCGCTGTCCTGCCACTTCAGACCGTATTATGCTGGTACGGTTGAAAATGGACGCTGTACTTTGTCCCCATAACTTCCTAAAATCACTTCGTCTGTCTCCTTACCATATGGAATTTGATAAAATTTTATCTACAATTTTAGATGTCATTCTTTCTGTCTCAACGTATAATCATGCTTACAATCAAGCTTATCTACATCAAATAGGCGATCTGTTTGTTATGGCTCTACCAATTCTGGAATCTAAAGGAAATCACCGACACAGAGACCGCAGAACAGTATACGAGAGCTGAGCAAAAGGTGTTTGCGGATGCGCAGTGTACACAACGAGTACGGGGTACAGATGACGGGGACAAGGAAAACGTGAACTGTTATCTCATATTGTGAATCTACTGTCCAGTGACTGAAACTGACACTCAGAACCAAATATCACAACACAGCCGGGAGCACAGCTGACAAGTCATACGAAAGTAGCTATATACCCGGACTGTCTTAATGATGGAACTCAGTCGATGTCACACTGGAGGACGATGATTGTTTACAATTGTACAAATTTGGTTGAAAGCATCAGAGTGTGGATCGTTTGCGAGTTACCTCTGGTGATAACGCGCCTTCAAGAAGCACCATGTTCCCAAATCTCAAGCCCATAATGCGTGGAAACCGATATACGCGTCACCATTGGCCACAGTGGAAGTCTTCATTGAACCGATCGAAGGGTGGTTACACACTTTGACATGATCAAGCTGTTTCATCCTAATGGTTTGAGCGCAAAGACCTGTATGCAAAATCGTTGTTGGAGAATACTTTGAGAAAATGTGATGCTTATTTTTATGTAACCAATAAAATGTTTTTTACTCAGCCTTCGTATTATGAAAATAAAATGGTCCAGGAAACATCTAAAATCTCAGTTAGTTTATTGCCCTCTGGCACGTTTTGAAATGTTCGTTCGAAATGACCAATCAGAAATACTGAATTGCCGAAGATCTGTCTGATCAGTCATCAGGAGTTTAGGGATTCACTCAGTCTACAAGTTTCCTGTATTGAGTCTTCTCACAAAATTAGGACTTTGTTGGCTTTTTGACAAAGTATTGCAAATCGGTTCTCGTAGCTCGGGTGAACTGAATTCCATTTCGCCTGTTCTATTTCATTGTTTGTGAAGTGGTCACTTCACAGTTTCAGTTCAGTTTCATCTTGGAGGTCACTTCACAAGCACTGATGATGTCACCTCGGTTGTTGGTGATTAAACATTTGCAAACAAATTGCCAAGCTCGGTGAACAGGTGAAATAGAATTCAAATGGATGCTGTGGCAGTTGCGCTGCAGAAATTTGGCCATTACGAAAATAGTATAAAGATAGAATGTCGGTATTCGAACACTGCTGTCTACGCGGCCCTTCACGAATTCGATCAGGTAACCGGACGAGCAGTGCAGAGGAATCACAGTCACGAAATTAAGACTTTGTTGGTCTTAATTTCTCTTGGAATTTAACCTTTTTATTCTTGTAGTATGAAAAACCTCAAATCGCAATCATAAAATGTTTCTTGCTTACTGTATTGTTCATCCTAGACCGGACTTCGTTCGTCCCTGATGTTGAGCATCCTCGAGTCCAGTTTGGACGAAGAACGTAATGAATTAGTGGCCGCCGCGGCAATTCGCTCGTTAGCCAGTCTAGTCACATTGATGACGGACTGTGACAAATTGTCACAAATTATTCAACGTCTCACCCAATTCCTACTTCGTGGTCACCCGCTCGATCAGCACACCGTGATCCCGGAACTGGTCCAAGTGCGCCACACGAATCAACTGACCCGATCCGCTGAGAAGCGGATCGATACGGTGCGACCTACGTTCACGACCACGGTGGATTGGTTCCTTCCGGCAGTTGCCCAATGGTGTTTGGAATTGGACAGTTTGCATACGAGTTTGATTGATCCGTGGTTGGATCATGTGGACAATTATCTTCTGGTAAGACCTGAATGCATTTTACTGGTCCTTCTGTCGCAGTCGCTTTTTTATGGGATCTTGCCGATTGCCACTATGCATCCGACTCGACAGTATACCCTTCTTATTCAGACCGTATCTGTTACTCTACTTATCGCTATACGGATTGGGTGTCTTGCTTTGAATTTAAAAACCGTATGTCCTCGTGTTAAATATAATCCAGTTGTTCTGCTCTTATACATCGTATTGAGTCACGTGATAAAAACAAACGGGACACGAACGGATGATGCTTATGTTGAAGATCAGTGACTGGTCATATAGGTAGCTTCTGTCACGTACATAAACAAGTGCACCGGGGACGGAACCCATGACTTTGACTGACTCGCGGACAACTTCGTTAGGTAGTGACTGCGTGCTGAACAGAACCGATCCTGGTGGCACCGCCGGCAACGGTACTGTCGGACTGAGTCGTGTCGGAAAAACTGCCAGTCCCCACAACTGGTTCACATAGTGACGGTTATATTCTGGTTGACAATTGGATTGCTTGGGTGTTATAGTGATTATCAGTTGATCGTTGAGTTGTGTAAACGGCACACAGAAGGCAAACCTTCCGGTGAGGCTGTATATTTGACTCGATCCAAAGATAATAGTATTTGAAAACCTAGTTGTTTAAATGCGTTCTCAGTTCACGGCCCTGTCAAAATAGTTTGAAAGTTCAAAGAAATGGAGAAATTGACCAATCCGAGACGAGGATGACCGGTGGTGTGAAATGAGGTTTTTCCGGGCGCGAAAATTTCGGAAGTTTAAGGTTTATAAAAATTTAGAACTATTCTCTCGCCCTAGTTGGTTTATCCATAAATCTTTTTCGTTGTTGGTCTGTCTCTTCATCCACACTCGTCTATCTCGCGCGACGCGCGAAGTCCATTTCGTATTTCATACCAGGCCATTCTGTACACCCAGGCACCTTCTCCTTTGATACAAAGCTCAAATCTGCCTGATACTTGTATACAACTTTTTCTCTCCCCGACCATGTTCAATATGAGACCATTCGGATGATCGATGAATCGCCTTCAACTTCCAACTTGCAGTCGCTTTCCCATCACCGAGCAGTTGCCCCGTTATCTCTTTTCTATCTTTATCATTTTGTTTTCTGCTCTTCCGAACTCACTTTAGTCGCTCCTCTCCTCCTGGCCTTTTCTCGTTCTCAGGCAGGTAGTCACCCTTGTCAGGTTACTGTCCCCAGATGTCGGACCATTTTTCTCGTCTCCGTGTTTCCAATCATTTATATAATCTTACTCTTTTCAAAAGCAGGATTAACAAATCGGTTCTCGCCGGAATATTCCCCCACATACCTTCCATCCATTTTGCTATCAATCACCTCATGTTTACTAAAGAAAAATAGATGTGTATGATAATTTGATGAAAAAACAAAACAATGTTTCCTTATTTTC